AACTATAGATAAAATATATTGTTCATCATTCTGCTATAAAATGTATTTTTTAAGCATTTCACCCCAAGAAAGGCGGGAGTGTCACTAGCACGCAAGGGGTTACAGAGAGTAGGAGCAAGAATAAAGATGTGTGATAGAGGAAAGGATGAAGAGAAGGACAGGAAATAGATCAAGGCATCTGGAAATGCCGATTGACATAGCATTTGAATATTTGAAGGTTATAGCTATCAAGGAAGCAAGTAAGAGAAGGGTTCCACTGACGGAAAGTGCGAGATATGAAGCTATTGGAGTAGAAAAGACAGCTACATTTAACTGTTTCGACAGTGAAAGGGTGGGATCTGGTCATTTACTATAAATATGTATTGTCGGTAATTTTTTTATATAAAACTATTTTTATACTTCCATGGTGTTTTGTTTGTGCAGGGTCACCATTTGCCAATAGGTGAGACTCTAACTGTTGCTATCACCCTGAGACAGAGTGGACGTGGGAATAACAGCAATTAAGAGGTGGTTCCATACTCCTCGAAACTTCCAATCAGAGGCCTTGCTGCCAGATGCAGTTTATCGTCATACCAAGGACTAACTGTAAATTTTAACGCCTCCAAAACGAAACCACTATTTTTTAATCACCATAAAGAACCTTTTTTTACCATCCACCAGCATGGATGATGCTAACCTCCAGAATAACAACTCATTGCACTTTTTGGTCTCACGTTTTTCACTGACATGAAATGGTGTGAATTTATTGAATCAATTGCTAGGTCTTCTGGTTGGTTCACTGTGTCTTGACAGACATTTTTTCTAGTCGGCTGGAATGTCAACATCTTGATTTTGTCATTATTTTCTCTTCCACTCATAAAATCTTTCTCTTAAAACAATTTTTCAGGAAAACAGGTTTCTCAAGTCCAGTCGCTGTTATCACTCTTTCCAGTATTGATGGGCCGTTTCCTTCCTAACCTTTTGTTTGAAGTAGTGTGGAAAGTCAACATTTTGATTACGTCATTATTTTCTCTTCCACTTATAAAATCTTTCCCTTAAAACATTTTTTTAGGAAGATATGTTTCACAATTCCAGTAGCTGTTATTGCTCTTTCTAGTATTGTGGGCCGTTTCCTTCCTGTTGTGGAGTATTTTCACAGTGGAGGCTTGTATTTCTAATAAGTCGCCCTAAATTAGGTCCGACGTACAAAACGTTAGGAACTTGGAAAATAAGAGTCTATGGCGCAGCAATCTAGTTGTGATGGTTGGTACTTCAAATGTCCGAATCTCGACTGACGCGCTCAACACCGTTCTGCAGACTTGCAACTGCTATTCCTACTTATTATCTATGGGAGAGTCCATTACCAAAGAATAGGTACTAAGGCACAACACTTCCTAACCTTTTGTTGGAAGTAGTGTGGAATGTCAACATCTTGATTATTTCATTATATACCTTTTGTCTTCTCACGTTAGTCCTGAGTATGACGATAAACTACATCCGGCAGTAAGGCTTCTCATTGGGAAAGTGAAGGATTTCAGGAGCGTGGAACCACCTCTAATTTCCGTTGTTTGCCTGTCCCAGGGTGGTGACACATGTTAAGAACCCAGCTATGGGCAAATAGTGAACCTCAAACAAAAATAAAACATTATAAAAGTATAAAAATACCAGCAATACATTTTTATAAAACAAATTAAGAACAGTACATTTTATAGCAAAATGACCAACTATATTTTATAGTAAAATAACCAACAATAAATTTTATAGTAAAATGACCAACAACACGTTTTATAGTAAAATGACCAACAATACATTTTATAGTAAAATGACCAAAAGTACATTTTATAGTAAAATGACCAACAATAAATTTTATAGTAAAATGAACAACAATATATTTTATAGTAAAATGGCCAACAGTACATTTTATATTAAAATGACCAAAAGTACATTTTATAGTAAAATGAACAACAATATATCTTATAGTAACATGAACAACAATATATTTTATAGTAAAATGACCGACAATATATTTTATAGTGAAATGACCTAATAATATACATATATATATATATATATATATATATATATATATATATATATATATATATTTTTCCTTTACTATGATAATGTCACGGGTCACAGGTTTACCAATTTTCACTGTGAAAAAAACGAAACATCACAAAACTGTAAGTCAATTATTTGATAAGTATCCAGAACTTTTTATATTTTGATAACTATATATATATATATATATATATATATATATATATATATATATATATATATATATATACCGGTTGTAACAGTAAATTGTCCAAATCGTGTAACAGCATAATTGTCCACCCACTAAATGTTTAATACCTAAAAAAAAAACTGAGATTCTTTTTCCATGTTTTCATATAAGACGTTTAGCCATCTTGACACCATTTTTCGTAAGAATCACTGAAAAAGCCTTTGAGTTTTGCAGCTAGAAAGAGGGCAGGTTAAAATCATTTTGAGTCAGCCCCACTGTGTCTTCCCAACTGAGAAATGCTGAGAAGAAAAAGATCATTCAGGCCTTCAGTAATGGTACCAACATCTTCAAAGTCCATTCAACCACATATTCGTCCATTACAAGACATCTACAACAACATTCCTGTCCACATTCAAAATATAAGAAATTACTAATCGACAACACAACTATCCTACACCATGAAAACAACAAATTCAGATTACAGATCATAGAAGCAATTTACATTAAAAAATTAAAGCCGTCACTGAACAGAATCAACTATGAATACTGCAGTAATGTTCTGAAATGCCTGTAAAGGAACAATTTTTTTCATGCTGTAATGCGACCATGACATTATAAAATAGAGAGAAAAAATTCCATAATGAATATTTATTTTCACGTTCTAATGAATGCTCGGTACATTGTCAACCGTTTTGCATTTAAAAGCATAATGAAAAAAATTACAGTAATGCATAACAACGCACAACTTTGTATAAATACTTATACTAATGAACAACATATAGTTTTGTAGAACTTGCAAACCAGAAGATGATCTTGGAAAAAGATCGAAAGTACTTGGGAAACGAAAATAAAATAAATTTAAACAGCTATAGCAGATTTCTCTCAACCTTTAACATCAATACACGGAAGGTTATTCGTGAGTATGAACGGATTTTGTTAAAAATTAACAGACATAACGTCTGTAATTTATTCAATCAGACACGCCTAAAAGAGAATTTGCCTAAATGCTGCCTAAATACACAAATTTTAATGTGTGTGTGTGTGTGTGTTTAGGCAGCATTTTTTTCATTAATGCATGTTTCGCTAAATAATATAGACAAGTTTTGTCTATTTTAAGAAAATTCCTTTCATATGGTCGAATAAGCTTTATCAACATGGTGATTTTCTTTCGTGTTTCAGTGATAATGCTAAAAAAGCTTATTCGACAATATGAAATGAATTTACTTAAAATAAATAGACAAAACTTGTCTATATTATTTAACAAAACATGCATTAACACACACACACACACACATATATATATATATATATATATATATATATATATATATATATATATGCACAAGTATAGGATTAGTGTATACGGAATAAATTCCAATAACCAATAAATACTATTCTTAATATATAATATATATATATATATATATATATATATATATATATATATATATATATTTAAAATTAATAAAACTGAATTTCTTGACCGACTTCAAAGTTTCGTAGACACGTCTCTCATATGGGACAG